GGTCGGGGCGTACGTCTTGGTAGGAAACGGCCCACTACTAGTCGTATCTGTCTACTACCCAGGCCAAACCTTAGATCCGGCTGGAATTGATGCGCTTCTCGCACTAAACTTCAAACTTATCCTTCTGGGTGAATTTAACTCCAGACATAGAACTTCAGGCGGCCTCGGAGCAAACAGAAACGGCAACAAAATTGCCAATCTTGTAGCGACAATTCGGGGAGTAGAGATCTGCGCACCGAATAGTCCCACGCATTTCCCGGAAGTACGAAACAGGAACCGGGCGTTATTGATTTTATGATTGTAAAATGCGTTGAGTGTGTGGTTCCCCGCTCAATTGCCGTACTGGATTCCAATCATAAACCAGTAACATGCGTTGTGGCGTCCCTTGCATGCGGCAAACAGCTGTGTGGAGCCCGCGAGAGATTTGATGCTAGCGCGTACTTCTTTCGAAGTTTTTGTTCTGCCAGCGAATTCAATTGTGGTTTGATTTGGAAATGTATTGTTATTTTATATTTTCCTTGGCATTTTTATCGATGCGTCGTGATTTGACGGGAAGCCCTTCAATAAATGTGCTAAGGAGAATTGTAGAAAGTGAGAGAAGTTAAAAATATTCACGAAGAGAAGAAAGAATTGCTCAGTTTGATTTCCTGGCTGTGGCGATTATTATAGAGGTAAGCTGCCTTGTCTACAATAATTATTAAGTTGGTTTGCTTCGAACATGTCATAAGGATAAATAATCACTATAAACATCAGTAATTGAATAAGTACTTAATTTTTCTTAAAAAATATTTTAGATAACGTGAATTTTGCAAATATTTATTATACCAATACAAAAATGATTATACAATCTAACTTTATGCAAATTAGTGTTTACTGAAAATTAAAAGTGTTTTACTTGTAAGCATATTTACATTGATTATAAAAGAGAAGGAGGTTTGTATATATTATAAATATAATATTTCTTGTTGTGGCTAGTGATTGATTACATTAGAAAAACTCAATGGCCATTTCCTTTACTTTTACAGGGAGAAGCCAAGCCTCTCGTTGAAGGAAATTTGGAAGTATGTGAATGAGTATTTAAGAAATAATTATGGAATTAGGTCTTGTATGGAGGAAAGGAAATCTATTGTGTACTATAGGCGTATGTGGATCTACAAAATTAAGAATATTTTCTTCCAAACTATATGAAAAATGAAAAGAGTGAAGACAATTGTGAAATTGTGCTAAAAAAGTGACTATGTACAGAATATTTCAAATATGTGCAGTGCTCTATTATTCTGTCAATTTCTATAATTCAAAGTCCCATTAGTCTGCCAAATATTATATTTTATCACAATTTCAGTTTGGTACATTCTCAGTATTTAGAAGGGAAAGTATTTTTTATTTAATTTATTATTTGAAGTAAGATTTTTGTCTTATTTTTGTTTCTTCTATTATATAAATAATTGTATGCTATGCAATATACATTATGGAGTAAATAAAAAGAAAATTTAATAAGTCTACGTAAAATTAATACTATCTTTAAAAATAAGAAAGAATTCTTCACATTTTAATATTGTTAAAGACAACAATTGTTCACAACCAGTTCCCGGCGGAGCTACAAAAGAGGGCGGAGACGGCGCTCGCAAGGGCGCTGAGGCCGTCGGCTCCGCGCATCCTGCGCGAGACCGGCACGGCGGCGGACAGCGGCGTGCACAGGGCCTTTCACAGAAGAAAGGGCCCACAGCACGTCGCCTTCACCTTCCGCGCACTGTCCCCGCACAAGCCCTCTGAGCTCTGTGACGCGGGGGAGCAGCAAGTGCGTGGCAGGGGATCGCCTCTCACGGATGCCGGAAACCGCGCGGGCAGCGCGGATGCACGCTTCGCTGGGCCAGCGTCGCTGGGGACCGAAGACGTCGCGGCGCCACGGACGCTTGATCGAAGTCGGCGCCGTGGCGTGCTTTGAAAGTGTATATAGTGTTGTGAAGTGTTGTGTTTGTATGAATGAATTAATGCGTTTGTAAATATAATTATTATAAATGTGAATGCGAGTGAGAGAAAAAAATTAAAACAAGAAAATAGAACAATTTCAAGATCTCCCAATTAAAAAATAAAAAAAGTCTAAAAACTAACAAACCCCAAAGTGGGAATGTATTTAGTTATAGTTATAAGATAGTTTTAGTTTGTAAGCAATAAAGCCTTCCCTAACTGCACAAGCCAAATCAGCTGCTCTTATACATAATGTACCCCAAAGACAAATAAATTCCTGCCTCTCCAGTGTAACTGGAGGGGGGGGGAACTGACAAAAACCGACCGGACGCGGTCCTAGCTGCTCCGCAACGTCCGATTACGGACGAACGCGCCTCCTCTCACCCCGCAGGGAGCCCGCCCCAGATTGGCAGGTGCACTCTCTTCGCATTGGCCGACCACCCGGCCAACCAGCCCTCGGGTAGAGGAGAAACTGAGCCTGATTTAAACTTGTGCGCAGTACATCTCCGCATTCGAGATGAGCAATTTGCCTTCCGACCGGGGCATTCAGCCTCACTGCAGGCACCATGTATGGCCCAGCAGATATCCGTTGACCTCATACTCTCACAGGATGTACCAGTCGTATACCTCGACATGGTACAAGCCTTCGATAATGTGCCACACAATACACTTCTTTCCAAACTAAGACAAAGCCTCCCTAAAGATGTAACGGATATGATTGCATTCTTTCTCACAAACCGCACCTTCCTAGTCAAAGTGGGAAAAGCGAGATCCTCAAATAGCGGGATTTTTGCCGGAGCCCCCCTAGGCTCCGTATCCTCCCCGCTTCTGTTCTCGCTATATGTCAATGGCATACCACGGATTAGGCTATTCCTGTATGCTGACGACATAGCAGTCCTAGCAAGAGGAATGAACCTGAATCATTAACTGAAAACACTACAAAAACGGATGAACTCTGTAGTGGGCACAAGAAAACCACTTAACTTTCTCAGCGGAAAAGTCTCAGGCAATCTGCTTCTCTCGCCCCAAACACAAACACACAAAGCTGTTCAAGCCGCCCAAACAAATCGAAATCGGAACCAAAAAACTTAAATGGGCGCCAAAGGCAACCTACCTGGGTGTCACTTTCGACTGGAGCATGCACTGGCACTTACATGTCAGACGAATCCGCTCGAAACTTCACCTAAGGGTCCGTCTCATAAAACCTCTCCTAAAGGAACCTTCTGTCCCCTTGGATCTTCACCTGGCACTCTATAAAACGAGCTGCCGGCCTGTGGTCACTTACGCCGCGGCGACGTGGTGGACCACAGCACAGAAGTGCAAGGACACACTAGTGATAATTCAGAATAGAGTTCTGAGACTCATGAAAGTACTGAGGAAGGAACTTGATATCGAGTCCTTCACTCAATGCTTGAGACGGCTATCATTCAATGAAGCCTACCAAACCTTTTAGTCAGACGAAGCTCCGGCTACGCTAAAAATGTTTCAGAAACATGTTCTTACCATAGGGCATAGACGACACGCTCACCATTCAGACATACTAAGGGCATAGAGCGAAACACAATTTAAAATGACATAGTCACAAACCTGACTAAACAAATCGCCTAACTGGCAAAACGACTAAGATCTGTCGCGAACCTAAACAAACAATTTACACCTAGCAGTAATACGCAAAAGGCGTGTGCACTGCAATTTCGATCAAGTATCCTCTGATCAATAGATCACGATGCGATAGAATCACCACACCGACATTCGGCTACGCCGAAAAAAAATCTCCGCGCATTACGCCCTGAGGAAGGTCGCAGAATAGCTACCTTCGGCACTTTCGCCATGGACGCGGCGTCACCCGGACAACCAAATACTGACTCCGGCCGCGGACGTCTACGCTCTCAATACAATTGATTTGGAAAAGAAGTAATTATTTAATATTCTTTGACAGTTAGCATTCCGCTTTTCGCGATGATCACAAACATATTAAAAAAGCTTTTTACTCTAGAAAAAGCTACGTGACTAAACATTCTGACTTAAAACTTTTCCGTATCACTGGTGATAACGAAAATACTGGTACAGGTAAAACACAAACCAAATCTAACAAGACACGTTTTCTCTTTTCATTGTACACCCACATCTCTCCACAATTAGGTACGTCCTCGGCAAAACGTTAAATGAATGTTTCACTACACACATAAGAAATAATCTTCATCAGTATCAAGCAACTATTAATAGTACTTCTAGTTGTTGCTGCGAGAGCGAATCTTGAATTACTAATTATGGAAATTCATCTATTCAGTCTGCGCAAACCACGGTATACACAGAAAGCATAAGTAGTATAAGATAAACGAATCTGAGCCTTCTAAGCGTGACGTCAAAAAGATATCCACCATTAGTAAAATACAGGTGGCATTGATAGTATCGATAAGTGCGGAACCAGGAAAAGTTTTATAGAATGTTCAAGAATATCTTGTTGTAAATTATGGTTTGAGGAAAGTTTCTTTGAGCCCTCTGACCTTCAAATTTTATTTTGGTTTAAGGGCCGAGAACTCTTCATTTAGGAGTTATTTAACGATGTAGCTGAGTGAGTGTTGCGGGTTGCGTTTGGTATGAATATTTAGATGCGTTTTTAAACAAATCCTTCATATTTTTCAAAGTTCAAGTCAAGTCAAAGTTCAATTCGACACAAATATCTGCAAAATTTGCTTTCTTTAGAGCCCTCATTTATAAAGATAAGTTGCGTATGATAGCAACAAAAGGTATGTATACTACTAAAATAATATAGGAGACGTTTCTCTGTAGTACATATAGAGATCCTTGTATACGTAAAGTATACGAGAAAGTAAAAATGTCTGGTCTGTGAATTATATATCACTTTATACACTTCTACACATATCTTGAATTCTAAGTTAATTTTTGGTAGCTCAGAGAATAAAACTCAGAAAGACTTTACTCTAAAACAATTTAACTTTACATGCTGAGAAATACGTACTTCAAGATTAAGAATTAAATTAAATATAGTTACCATCCTTAGAACATACCTCCGCATGTTGTGGATCTGCCACAGCCACAACTAAATACGGCCCCAACCAAAGGCGGACAAAAGAACCATATTGTTGACGAAGTGCGGAAAGCATACTTAGAAGTTCTGAAATGATATTAAATATATTACTTTTGACAAGAGGATATTTTAAAATATTTTAATTGTATTATCACCTAAGATTTAAGCTTATTTATATTAGTTTTGCTGCTTAATGTTGAGTGTTCAGTAATTGTTTCAAATTATTTCACCAGTCTTGTCTATTCCACCATTTTTCGGCGGCGCTGGTGTAATGGTTACAGTATCGGACTGTTATACCCAAACTGGTGGGTTCAAACCCGATCGAAGCCGTCAATTCTTGAAGGTGAAAAGAATGCTTCGTATCCCATCCTCCAGAGGGGAAGTAAAGCCGGCTATCCTATGTTAGTACATTTACTTGCATGTAAAATATCCTCAAGCCTAAATGACGTCTCTGAGCGAAATTCAAATCGCTTGTTTCGTCGCCCAAGAAACACTTTTTTCTCTGCTAGTGGGCGAAAGGAGCGTACCGAAATTTGCGAGGTCATGACCCGAGTCTCGCCACGAAAAATAAGACTTCAATTCTTACATGAAGTTTTTAAAAATCATTAGAATTCTTTGGCAAGCTTTTTGCTTGTCCAAAACGCAATTAAAATCCACTGTGAATTACCCATAAAATAATGTTTGGGCAACGCTCGGCAATTTTCACTCTCTCGGTACTGTTTACGAAGTATTCTATTGCTGCGAAAACAAACTGAAATTTCAACAGAAAATCTTTTATTGCCTGGGCTGGGTTTGAAAATGAGAAAAAATCTTGTTTGTATATGAAGTAAATTACTTTCTTTAACACGTGTAGTCAGAATCCATGTTTTGTGAGTTAATTATACAGAAAAATCGATTTGACGGCAAAACGTGTTTGTCTGTGCGTGCCTGGTCAACTCTAGCCTCTAAACCAGGAGTGTCCAGCTTGCAAGGCCTCAGGAGCCACACCTTTAACATTTAATGTGGTTGCGGGATATATTTCGATTACTGGGGCGAATCCCAAGTAATCCCATGTTGTTGATCGCGGCAGTTTGCCGGTCTGCTCTGAAACGGATGGTGGGTGGCGGAACCATGTGTGATATCAGGCTGAACCTTAGCGCAGTAAAATACATTGGGATGATTAGGCACACGCTCTGTTCTCGCTGTGTTTCACACACGTTCTCGACATGGATGGAAGGGACTTCACTAACAATCCTTCGCGGGGGGCCAATCTTGGTCTAGTTAGTAGTGGACATAAAGTTTGAATAACACGTTCTATTTATCAAAAGTAATATTGTTTTGTTACATCTGTATTAATCACCGAATGATGATAATTAATGACTAGGGCTCGGATCCTGAAGATATTTCGTCTTTTCTTTGTATTCTAGAACTTATAAATTAATGTTTATCACGACATATAAGTGATAGGAATGTATAGTTATTGGGTTATTTTTGTCAATTTTTACATTTATCAATTTTTAGTGAATTTGTTTAGGCCTGTGTTGGCATTTTTGTCATTTTGACGCTTATTGTTCCTTTTTCGTGTTTTTCTTAATGAAGATGTTATGATTTTAAAATGGCACACCAGAACAAAGTTTTTATTTTTTCATCAGATCATAACGAAATTTACTATGTCAGTGGACTCTTGATTTTCAAACTCTTAAAATTACACGGATCTTCGGTAACTTCCTCGGCCTTTTAAAACTGACGGTTGTTAAGAATTAAGCTAAGGATTACTTTTCCTTCTAAAATAATTTATATTATATTAATATTAGTTTGTATTGATAAAGACATTTTATTTAAAATTGTAAAATTCATTGACTAAATAAAACATACACACAATTTAGTATTTTTTTAAATAAAGTAATTTTCCCCGTATTGTTAAGTGTTTTAGATCATTTATTCTTATTTTAAAGTCATTTTATAGATTATTTTCAAAATCTCTTTAGATCATCAGAATCTGAGCCCTGTTAACGACCCCACAGAATAGTAATTAACAATCTTTATTTTAGAGTATTATTACTACGGTTGAATGCGTGACCGTGAATTTTTGTCTCGCATATAGACAATAAGATAAATATTTAAAAATTTCACAAAACGGCAAGGAGTAAATCACAGTGGAGTGAATCGTAAGGAACAAATTAGCATTGACTGATTGACCCCGTTTAATTTAGTCGTTTTAGTAATTTTAGGATAAACCTGATCAAGATTGAAAATGTGAACCATAGTGATAATATTGTAAAATATCGATTATTAATAACTACACTGTGACTGCTTTAATGGTCATTAGTGCTCTCGTAGCTGTGGCGAATTGGCTTGCATTTCACCACTGAGGTTCCGGGTCGATTTCAATAGAATCCCCGTAGAACCATATGTTAAATTTGTTACGAGAAAACGAGTTTGCATGCTTCACAAGGGCAAGTCCAATCCCCTGTGAAGTGTTGCCCCTGTTCTTCTTCCTTCCCGATTCTGGCCAATAAGTAAATGACGCAGGGCGCGTGCGAGACGCGAGCGCGAAGATATCTATCGGCAATTCCCTGACTTGGCTGCGACAAACGTGACTTGACTACCCAGCGGCCACTAGAGGGTGATCGGTGATTAATACCGCAAGATCTTTTACGGACGATTACTCCATGGTGCGCTCAACGCTCCTTGAGAGACACGTTGTGTTCATATAGACGCAATGATTCACTGTGGCGTCTTTGCCCAGGCAATAATAATAACGAGAAGTTTGTAATATATTGAATATTCATTGATTATATGCTCCTACACATGAATAACCCATTTACCATACTTACAATAAACAATAAACTGACCCGTCACAAAATGAAACGTTACTGGTCACCACAACCGCTGGTCTTCTAATACGATAACTCGCCCGATGTGATGCACCGTCACTTCTACAAGCACATACAAACGAGAATGCAGCACCTGGCTTCTCGCCGCAAAAACGCCGGCTTCAGGCCCCTACGTCCGTAGCCTACGCCCCGCAATGCCACGCCGCGCACCACCCTCACTACTTACGAGCCCAAGAATCAGCAGAGAGTTTTGGTCAGGGGTCTGGTTATATACTTTCTGGCCCGGCAGACGGAACTGCGTTATCTCGCTTTTTCCGCCGACGCATTTCAACAGCCAACATGGGGTTCACAAGCCTGCCCCGTGGCCACCTACGTCATGGCACCCCCTCCCCACAGCTTCGCTGGGTTTGCCTTTGTATGGCAAGGCGTCCCTTTCAGCCAGCGCTGCACGCAGTCGCACTACTTTCTTGTACTACTCCGTCGACTTCCTGGTCCGTTTCATGTACATGAAATGCTCGTGTCTAATATATTGTCAGCCTGTTTGTACAAGGCGATTGTTATGACGCCACAAACTCCTCTTTACTCTCTCCCCTGGAATTTTCGTTGCAGTTGCAAACAACACGGAAGGAAAATTCCACAAGTGTGAGAATCCTAGGCCGACAGACTCACTGTTTACGCACGCACGTGGTTTGACACCACCTGCGCCGCCCCCTCCCCTCTCCGCTCGGCCGCCGGGACAGCGAAGGCGCAAATCCGTCT